CAAATATGCTGTCACATGATCAAAGGGCATTTCAAACTGGGATCTGAGGTGGAAATTTGCAAGTGGCAATGTGTTGCAAGGCTAGACACTCTCACTCAGTGAGGAACCAAATGTGATGCTAATGCTAGCTGTGGCTAACCCCATTCCCTGACCAACATATCACCTAAGTAAGTGTATATCAGCTACATCATCATCTTATCCCAGCTGCTGGGCGATCTCAAGCCATATCGTGTCCTTCATTTGGTTGTTGAGGTAATGGTCGGTGTATTATTTTTGTACAATACTAGGTGTTGAGGGTCCAAAAGGATAATACACTCCTGGAGCTATACCTCAGATATGACATCACTTGGAACAAATGATTTCATTGGTCAAACATATATTTAAGCAGGTCAAAATCTGCTGAAATTGTGTTCCGTTTGAATATTGTTTCCCCCGCACAAATGTCCCGCATGGGTGTGCAAGCTTAGAACTGACAAAATCAGTTTTTATAAATATGCATGACAAAATTTCAGATGAAAATTTGTGCTTAAGAAACATGTACAAATGTGTATATAAGAGGTGAACCTAATCATAGAGATGTCATCCGTTTGTTTGTGGACTAAGGTTTTGAAGCCTCGAGTTTGGCATTCTGGCCGTCTCCATCTTGGTTTTTTTGGAAGGTGGAGCTAAGTACAACCAAACGCCGAATAATACATTTTTAGGCGACAAAAATGTTACGATTATGAACTGAAAACACACAGTGAAAGGGTTAAAGTTGTAAGACGAAAACACCGACAACGCTGTGGTAACAACCTGTCAATCCCAAAGTAGCCCCGCCCTAAAGCATCCCCTGCTTTATGGTCTGTTTGACTCTAAATGGACCATCATTAATAAATGAACATCATGCTGTATTGAAGAAGACTTGAAACTAGAGATTGAGACCATAAACTCATGTTTACAATGTTTACTGAGGTAATAAATCAAGAGAGAAGTAGAGTCATTTTCTCATAGACTTCTATACAACTCGAGGAGTTGCCCCCTGCTGGAAATTAGAGAGAATGAAAGTTTTAGGCACTTCAGCATTGGCTTTAAAGCCGAGGCCAGTTTATTCACCTACCCTTGCAGAAAATACATTTTTGAGGAGCACCACATTCTTACCCGGGCTTCTAGCACATTTCCTGGACATGTACTCCTTTTTTTAAACATTCATTACATTTTATATTCCACAGCAACCTGCATCACCTCCTCAACTCCTTCTAGACTGAGTCACACAGTCAGACATTGTGTGCTTGCCTTGCTATAATCAGCATGTGCGTTTGAACCATGAGGCATCTCACTTAGCACACTCAGTCTGGCTCATCATGTCCTAATCAGAGAGGATTGTGAATGTGGCAGAGAGGAGACGTCCTACATTCAGGTCTGTGCAGTCTGAAAAGAAATTATTGAAATTGCTTATTTAAAAGGCATCGAAATGTCGTTGCATTATTTATCTTTATCTTAAGCAAGCTTGTGACAGATTATAAAAAAATGAAATAAAAAAAAGTGCCTCTCTCTTTTCTTGTCATACTTATATTTCTTGCTTTTACTCTTTTATTGCTCTGACTGATTATTGATCACAACTTTTTCCCTGAGAGGGTTGTAGAGCACAGTGCCCTTCGACGGGACAGCAGATGTAATGAGGAATGGAAAAAAGAAGCGAAAAAACACGAAGAACATCAACAAATTAATTTCTCCATATACTTTGTTTTTCTCTTCCTTATTGCTGGAGGCCCTCTCTATTTGGACGGCTGCTGTTTTTCTGCTGCAAAATGGAAACGAAACAGGATTTCTTTCTCCTTGAATAATTAGCTGCCGCTCCGCTCACACACACACACACACACACACACACACACACACACACACACACACACTGGCCGCTGCTCTCTCGTCCAACCACTTTATTTATAGATCGTCCAGAGACGGGAGAGAGGAAAATGTTTAAATAACTCGACTTTCTTCCCTTTTCTCTCTTTCATTCTCTTATTTCCTCTCTCTCTCTCTCTCTCTCTCTCTCTCTCTCTCTCTCTCTCGCTCTCTCTCTATCTCTCCCTCTCTCTATCTCTCCCTCAATCCTTTCACTGCTGCTTTTCCTCAGCCCATAAAACAATTTGATTTCTGTCTGATCAGCTGCAAAATTGAGTGGATCTGCACACACACATGTGCACACAAACACACACACACACACACAGACATTGAATGACATCTATTTGTCATTTCTGGTGTGTGACAAGGTCAATGGGTCAACTGTCACACTCACTGTCCGTTATATCTGCACCAACACACAGATTTGAGTTATTTTAACTTTTATTTTATTTTTTACTTTTTTGACAAACTGGGATAGTCCAGGTGCATGATGAAATAATAGCAATAATAATAGTAACAATAGTTTAGCAACTAGCGAATACATATCTAAACACATATACACCTGCGCATACATACTTACATATATATATACATACATACGCTACAGCTTCTACATGTAAACAAATATACACATGTACACAAAAAAGAATATTTAATAATGTAATAAATGGATATTAAATAAATACAAATAATGAAAGAAACTGACTTTTACAAAAGGGCATTTGTATCAGTGCAGGATTAGTTACAGATGAGCAGAGCAATGGAAGTCTTGGTAGTACATCACAGTTTTGTTACAACAACCCATCTCAACTGTTTAAACCGCTAGGAAGCGTCCATCTTCAGTTGTTGATTTGCAGTCACTTTCTCCCACTGAATGAACCCGTTTCAGTCTCTGAAACCACTGACTTATGGTTGGTGGTTTTGCATCTTTCCAGTTCACAGTTATCATTTTCCTGTTAATCATTAATCTGCAGTATATAACTCAGAACCAACACACAGATTGACTGATGAATCAATTTACAGGAGATTCAGTTGCATCTCCTTTACTCTTTCTACTAAACTTGAACCTTGCCTTTGTTTTGAACCTTTTGTTCACACAATCCTTCTTTCCTTTTGTCTGATTCCCGAACACCTTTTGCATCTTTGTTTTCCAAAAATACAATATTTCAAAACACAGCTTTTTTTTGTTATTCAGTAGCTCGGAAATGTAATTCTGGTGTTTGTGTCACCGTGGGAGGCTTTAAAAGAGTGTCATGATGCTTTCAGGAGAGCTGATTAATTGGAAATTACAGAGAGGACCCTTTCCAGATTTAGCAGCGCAGACACCTCATTAGAATATGACAGCTTTTGCTGCTTCTGTTAGGCTAATTGAGGCTAGTTTCAAGTCTTCTTCAATACAGCATGATGTTCATTTAGTAAATGATGGTCCATTTAGAGTCAAACAGACCATAGAGAGGAGTATGCTTTAGGGCGGGCTTACTGTGATTGACAGGTCGCTGCCGCTATCAGAGACGTGTACGGCGTCTCTATGTCACACCGCCGCATTCTAAATATGGTAACTTTTGTTCATTGGTTGTAAAAAAAAAACATCATGGCGACGGTTGTGATCCAAAGTTGGTGGCAGTAAAATCGTCGAACTCGAGGCTTCAATTAGCTTCGGTAGTGGCAAAAAAAAAAATTGGAGTCACATGTCTTCCGAACATTCTGACACTAAAATGTTAAACACACAAAAATAGTTATGATTACATACAAACGTAAACACAATCCACTTATTAAGACATAAGACTCACAAATATATATCTGATGCACACACAAATGACATGAGCGTACCCCCACGAACTGTAATCTATTACATCAACTGCTGACTTGCTTCATAATACAAAACCTTTTCTGAAGTATCTCAACATGTAAATTTGAATATTTTTTTTGATGAAGATATATGTTCAAATAGTATGTGATTAATGGCCTCCAGTATCACTCAAGTCTCTCCTCATTGTCTCTAATCCTTTTCTTTTTCCTTATTGTAGCTTCCTAATTAAATATTATTCACAATTAATGAAGGTATTCTTTTTCCATCACTGTCAATGTTACTCATAAATAAACTGAATTCAAGCGCCGGCACATGCTGCACAACGTATTAGCAATGCATCTGTATTTATTTTTAAGGATACAAAACTTATTCTTACACGGAGAAGAGTGTGAACTAACACATGTGGCCATGAAACGTCCCCACGTTGATTACTAACATTAAGATGATTATTTATTGGGTCACAAGTTTTCTGAAATTGTATGTTTAAATATGTAAAATTCTTGTTTCCTTTTGTTGACGTATTAGTCAAAGGTTTTTACAGAGGGATCTTATATCTCTTTGTATCACTCCATAAATCAGAAATACTGTCTGTAAAATCCATTTTCAACCATGCTTTTAGTAATAAAATGTTGTATAAATCAGGCACTGAACAAACCCCTCTGTAAAGAAAATGTTCATAATATAGACAGGAATGAAACTGGTAAGTTTGATGTAAGAGTGAAGTGGAGATTTCTGGTTCAGTCTGAGAAAACAACTCATTCAGAAAACGGGCTTTGAAGACACTACAGGTGAATAGAGTGAAACATAGGTTTCACCATGAAACGTCCCCAGTTGATTACTTACATTAGGACAAATCTTTTTGCGTAATACAAGTTTTCTGAAATGTTATGTTTTAGATATGCAAATTTGGCAGAATCTAATGGTAACTTTTGGTGAATTTAGGACAAATAGACTCAAACAGACAACGTATTAAAATAATCACCTGAATGTGTATCTTTTTATGTTTTCTTTCCACTATAGACTAAAATAATGAATAAATAGCCGAAGATCATCATGGGGTGCCTCGACATGATGCATTATGATTTAATGCGTTTATTAAAATTGCAGGATGTATCATGGACTCCTGTTGCTATAGCCATTGACAAATGATCAATGCGCCTCCATTGGTGATCTAATTATCACCACCTGAGAGAGAGAGAGAGAGAGAGAGAGAGAGAGAGAGAGAGAGAGAGAGCACCGGTGCCTCCGGTTGGCCGCGCTCTCCTCCTCCTCTTCCTCAGCGCCGGACAGAGACACCGGGGAGCGCACCGTAGATGCACGAAGGATGAAGGAACTTTAAATCTGCCTCACAACTTTCACTGCCTCTCTCTCTCTCTCTCTCTCTCTCTCTCTCTCTCTCTCTCTCTCTCTCTCTTCCTCCTCCGCTGCTCCACAAGCGTCACATCTCAAGAAGATTTCTTCGACAATGGATTTACCGCAATCACGATCCTGTTGTGAATGATCACACCTTCATCATTATCATCATTTTCTCCATCTCCTTCTTCTTCTTCTTCTTCTTTTTCTTCTCGCTCTGCGGATGCTCATTAGCGTCGCGAGCCGCGATGATGGCATCGATAGGGGAATTCGACCCTCTCAACACCAGAGTCCCTGCAACTAAAATAGAAGTTACCGTCTCGTGCCGGTAAGGTCAAACCCCCATGCAAATACACACACGTGGATGTAAACGTGTACAAGTGAGATTAAAAGTGGGCATCGTGTAAAGAAATGTATAAAAATATGTCTGATACGGAATTCAGATGAAGGTGCGCGACAAGCGCGCGGCATCAGAGTGACAAAGGTTAATTACGTGTGTGTGTGTGTGGCGAATTTGGTTGTGCCTTACTTCTAGTGTAACTAATGGACACCCTTTAACATTTTTTTTTTTTACTTCCAAGATTTAAATGTTAAGTAGCTGTCCAATGCATTTGCGTGGATCAAGACAACAACATCTTAAAATAAAAGACATGCATCCATCCCGTCGGCTGCCTCCCAGCATGCATCAAGGTCATTAAAACCCTCTTGATTTCTGCACAAGGTCCAGCCAATGACCCTCTGATGTTCACAGACGTGCATGGTTGTGGATTGATGCTGAGCACCGGGTCACATATTTAAGCATGATGCAATTTTATACATTTAACAAACACTGTCAGTAAAATCATCATTTAAAAAAAAAAATTGATTCCATCTCCCCTGTGACTAAACATCACACCTGGCCTCTCTGCTCGGGTGGCAGGCTGCCCCTCGGCTGAACACTCGCCGGCTGAACTGACCGGAGCAGTAGAAACGCAGTCATGGGTTTCCAGACTGTCAACCCGCCTGTTCTGGGGTCTGCCTCCTGAATAATGAATGGCATGCTGCTCGTGTGTAGTCCCTCCTGAGATCCACCAGACACCTGAGTCAATCTGGGAGAGGGAGTGGGCTTCCGATGCATGGATGATGGGGGTTCTTTGTGTTTTCATCCCCCCCACCCCAACAAAGAATAATACAAAAAAGGCTAGAATTACATGTCAGACGTCTTAGACTGACCAAGGCGGAGCCTATAGTTGTTCAATTTATTTTCTCCATCTTTTTGAATGGAATCTTTTTGTCAGACTAGTGGACAGAAAACATCCAAAATACACATGAAGGTGTTTTTGTTACTGCATTTGTCTATTTGAGTCTCTAGATTTCTCCTAAATTCACCAAAAGCTCCCATTAGATAATGCCTAATTTGCATATCGAAATGTAAAATAGCAGAAAACTTGTAACAATAGTCTTAACGTGGTGATAACTTTTAGTATTTCTCAAACACTGGCTCAGGTTGTTGAAGCAGTCTCAACACTCTCTGTACTGTAATTGTTACAGCTGTTTGGTGGGGTGTCACAACTCTGCTGAAATTCAATTCTGTCGTGAACGTCATTGTTCAGACATTTGGACTTGTTGTTTTGAAAAAATGAAACAAAGAAATCTCATTCAAGGATTGACCCAAAGCGAATGATAAAGACTGATGTTTTTACCCGATTCACCTGTAGTGTCTATATATAATATAATACATAAATTTAAAGGCCGTTTTCTCTCAGACTGAGGCAGAAAATCTCAGCGTAAGTAACACTTACAAACTCTCCGGTTTCATTCCTATCTACATTCTGAAGGTTTTTAACTAGGGGTTTGTTCATGTATCCTTCATAGCCTGATTTATATCAGTGTATTACTAGAAACATGGCCAGAATGAATTCTGTAAAAAAACTTTGACTCAAATATGTCAACAACATGAAACAAGAATGTCAAGCCCCGCTTCGTCCAATGTTCTGATTTCTGTTCTGGAAACGTATGAAAATTGAGTGAGCCTCGTTCTGTCCAAAGGTAACAAAATCTGCCTACCGACACTAAATGAATTACTTCTTCATCTTTCTCTTCATCACACTTTGACTAGTGACCTAGTGTACATTATGTTTCATGGCTTACTGTTGCTTGAATGGCAGAGAAAAGGGTTTAGCAGCACAGTATTTTTAGATGTTAGTTCCACACAATTACTCAGGGAGCAATGTAAATCTGCCCATGACCTCACTATCGGGGGCTGAGCTGAGACGTTCAGAAACACTCGGGGGAGCGAAATACAAAAGGGATAAAAAATGGAGTTTAGGAAATGTAAATGAATGAATACATTGTCTCAAAACTATTTAAAAAAAGGGCTGAAAGGATCCATTGTTACTGGAACTTTTGCTGTTTCCACAGGAGTCTGCTGGATGTCGACACATTCTCCAAGTCAGATCCAGGTATGTATGAAATCGTGCTGTCTGAGCTGCATTAATAGAACACTGTTTGTTTTGTCAGCCAAGTTTGCTTCAGCAAATAAATTATTGTATTACCAATTTGGATATTGAACTGAATATCAACTCTTTACTGTCAAAAACCGTGAGATGCATTTTTTTACACGTTATGTGTACACCAGCATTCTTTCTTACTGGAGGAACAGCAGTACGATATAATGGATGGTGTTTTGCTCTTGCACTGGTAAATAACCCAGAAGGCCAGAGGTATCGATGGGCGACACGTCTGCTGATGAAATACAAGAGTGAGGAGGGAGAATAAAAAACGAGGACGGGACTAAGGAGGGATGGAAAAGTCAAGGTTGAAGAAAGGTCAGGATGTTGTGAGGTTGGCTGAGTTTTGGTATGTTGGTGGTAAAAAAAGAAAGAAAAAATATAGTGGAAGGAAAAGGGAATAAAATGCCTGCCTCTGAAACTCTATATACCCATTATCTTACCCTTGGCTATTCACCCCTTGCATACTGTCTCAATAAATACACAAGGCTGATGGTTTTCTTTAGGTATTTAGTGTAAGGATATTTCTCTTAAGCAGGACTCTGGAGCTGCAGATGTTAGCCAGGTATCAGGTATCTGAGCTCTGTATAATTTGAAAATAATTACATTTGCATCTTTCAACTTAAGACCCAGGAAACCAATGAAGACCAGAATGTCTTCATGAACACCAGTAACAAATGTACATTTGGAAACCTTAACGGTTCTCTATACAACAATCAGAATATTAATTGGTTTTGTTGCCTAAACCAACGTTGGTTTTGTTGCCTAAACCCAACGTTGGTTTTGTTGCCTAAACCCAGCGTTGGTTTTGTTGCCCAAACCCAACGTTGGTTTTGTTGCCCAAACCCAGCGTTGGTTTTGTTGCCCAAACCCAGCGTTGGTTTTGTTGCCCAAACCCAACGTTGGTTTTGTTGCCTAAACCCAGTGTTGGTTTTGTTGCCTAAACCTATCGTTAAATTGCTTCCGTGGTGGCAGCATGTAATTTCACACATTGCGTGCCTCCACCACATAAAGGTCATGGTTATTTCTCTTATTTCTGTGAGATCACGTTTAAACACTGTTAGCTCTGTCAGCACTGTTGCTGTTCTTTGCACTGTTCTTGCTGTTAATACTCTTAGTGTTGTGGAGGCAATCCCTCTGCCCAGAGTATTGAATTTACCACCTTTAACTAACACAATCAACAATGTCAGCAAAACGGGATAATCGTGAAATCAAGGAATGTACCCATTGGATGGTATCAACCTGCTCACAAAATGACATAGATGGTCAAATATAAAATACCAATTGTTCATTTAGATTTGCTGTTATCAACACAACAAAATGTATTTCGTGCTGCTTGTGTTGTGCTGTGTTGTTAAGTTGAAAATAGGGCGAGAAAGAAACAATTCACTGAACGCTTTAAAGTCTTGTATACACTTTAGAGCAGCATTCTCTTACACAAAATTTAAATAAAATTTATATTAAAACTGTCTTTCCAGCGGATGTAAGGTTGTGTATATGATGTCAGCATGTTTGCCTCCTATTCAGCAAAAGCCGAGGCCGGAGACATTCTGGCCCCTTTCAGAATGCCAGCTCAAATCCATTTTTTTCTGGCATATCCAGATTGTATCCACACTTATTTTAGAAATCTGGAAAGCAAAAATATAAACAAATGAAATGCCATTTTTGCAAATAGGATCCAAACCACATTTTGAGGTGGTTTGAAATGTCATTATAACTGGATTTCTACAGATGCGTCTCAGTGATGGCATTTTGGACAGACATGGACGTAAATTGTAACATGACATGGAAGCGTAGACATGCAACTGCTAGACCGTTACTCTATTTTTCTTTTTAAATCCTTGATTCTGGGTTGTGAATTGCCGACTAATGCTATAGTGGCCAATGGACTCTCTGCAGGAAGCGGTCTGGTTGTCACTCTGCCAGCAACTCACGGAGAAGCTCTGAAATATTTATTTTATTTTCAAAGCACAACATCTTTCCAATCGAAGAAAATACGGGAATAAAACATGAAGAGAGACAAAAAGGGCTGAACGACATTAAATAAACACAAAGAGCATGGTACATGCTGTGGAAGTGCTAGTTAGAGAGCGAAAGTAGGACGGAGGATCTAAGTGCGGCACTTCACTTATTTGGTGCAACTGTAAAACACTACTAATCAAACTTGACTGTCTGTTACAAGGGATCAATTGACGCACTTTTCAAGAATTGTCATAAGCAAGAACTACCTTCATCTCTAGCTGTGTTTAAATACATAATAAAATAATATTCATTTTTAGCTTCACAGATGTCACAGAACACTAATGATCACAGCAAAAAGTGTGGCAGACAAGGCTGTAGAAGAATGCCAAGAAAGTGCTTTGGTCAGAAAACGAATGACAACAAGACTGAGTGCGTTTAGCCCTCGAAAAGAGCCGTTTCAAAGAAAATTACATCTTCTCTTCACCTGGCAATCCAAACTGCTCTTTTACAAGTTCTAGGTGTTTATCCACTTTTGCCCTCCTGATCCTGAAGCTTTCTACCGATTGAAAGTCCGGCGGCAGCAGCAACAGAAAAGGAGAGCGGTACCTTTGAGAGCCCCTCGGGTGCAGCTTTCTCTGACAAATGTTAACAAATGTTAACCCCAAATCAGCCGGACAGTCAGGCCTTTTTAATGAGTTACACAGGTCACAGCTGGAGAGCACAGCTGTCTTACTCCTCGCCCGATCTGGTCTCAAGGCTCGGGTCATAATGCCCCGTGACTGGCCGCAGATGTGAGGGCAGCCTATGGAGCTACTGGGCTCCAACCGGTACAGACAGGGAGAAGTGGTGCATGAACCTTCCCTTCAGTCCACAACATAAGCCAATGAGGTGATGAGTTCTCAGAGCTGCCTGTAGAGCTGCTACATTGATTGACAGGTCGCTCCCACGGCTTTGGCCCGTCTGTGTTTTTAATTGAACCCTTTCACAGTATGTTGTCAGTTCATGAAAGTTAATTAGTAACAATTTCATTGCCTACAAATGTCTTATTCAGCGTTCAGTTGTACTTAGCTCCAACCTCTCGTGTCACTTCTGGTTCCAAAAAAACAAATGGCCACAGCCAAAATGCCAAACCTGAGGCTTTCAAACGGTAGTCCATGAACCTGTTGGTGATGTCTTATATAGAGTCAATCATATGCATCTAGAACAAGTTGAACTATAAAATGAAAGGCCTCCTCCAATGAAAATCAAGTTTTTAACCTTGTGAACATGTACATATAATTCATATGCTAATTATGACAATTTCACACGAAAGTCAAATAGGATAAAAGGATGTAAAAAATCACATAACAAATTCATAGATAGACACATACTAAATGAAGCAAAGGTGAATTATGTTGAAGCTAATTCAAGGCATGAAGGGATTCTTTTCATGATAAACTAAATGTAATTCTAATGAACAGATGCGTTTTAAGGAGGTTAAATCAATGCCTGGAGAGGACCTTTAAATGATCATGTTTTCTATACTCTCTCGTTAAATAAAACTGTACATTTGCTTATGTGTACATTATTACAATGTTTGTACAGTTAATTTACATGTGCTGTATTGATACAGTAGGTTGGATGTGCAATACTAAGTTAATCATGCACATAAGAGTGTAGAGGATAACGATCACATCAGAATTATGTAGTCTATGTATTTTTTTGCATTCATATGCACACTAATTAGGGTGATAATTGATAGTGTTTATTAATAGTGTGTATTATTATTAGTATGGCAGTGGTTGCTAAGACAGCTCCACAAGGTGATCTGAGTGGCATAGATAATCTACAGTGAACAAACGACCAGTTTTCTGTACATAATATCTGACTCATAGACTGTATATAAGCAGTTGATGTAGTCATCGATACATCACCCATTGCTTTGTGGACTGCAGTTTTGAAGCCTCAAGTTTGGCAATTTTGCCATCTTAGCTTTTTGCAACCAATGAACGAATGAAGTTCCAATATTTGGAATGCAAACGAGTGACGTAGAGGCTTTGGTAGCGGTAGTGTTGGGACCATGTGCTTGGCTTTGCCATGTGCTCTTGAGACAAAGAGATCTGGGCCTGACGATTCTGCAGCCAAGGCCCATCCTAATTAGGGTAGATAGCATCCAATCCCCCACCAGAAAGAAGTTCACATATAGGTGCAACGCTGTCCTCCCATTGGCCAATGCCCACAGACACCCCAGGTGCCCTGTAGATCAGCCGTGTTTCCATAAAACAGTCTTTCACCCCCACGTCTATGCCATTCCCGTCCGACTCACGTTGGAAAAGGAGGCACGCAACATTGCTGTGATTGAAAATAAAATCCTAGGTTAAACAGTTTTACATTCGCTGGACGAATCTACTGGACTGTTTGTTTGTTTTGTTTTTGTTTTGCTTCCTGGAAGAGGAAGCGGACAATTTTCCTGCAGAAGTGAAGAAAGGGATTCTTCAGAGAGAGAGAAACACACTTCTCCTCTCCACCTAAGCCGCATTTGTTCCAGCCATAAGGAAAGAAACATTCCCTTAACGAGCTAAACAGACGCACAGAGTTTTATCACCGTGCTGCCTGAGTCCCGCCGTGGAACTCATAGAGGACCACATCTCCGACCACGAAATCTACTCATAGTAAGACAAAGAGTTTGGGCAGATTTAGTCTATGGTGTTTATTGTCTTGTTTGTGTTCTTTAAGTTACTGTCTCATTTTTATAACGTAGTGTGCGTGCTCAACAATCGCCGAGATTAACGGCCGAGATCGTGAATGCTGTGTATTTCAATACTGCTGCAATCGTGTTGAGATGGTTCACCGCTGGTGAGACCGGAAGTTGCTGTTTCATCGGTTCAAAGGTCAGAACCGCGGCGGTGCGAATCACAGCATAGTGCTCAGGCACCCAAAGGTTAATGTGAACATTAACTGGGAAGTTATGAAGTTATACAAAGACCAATGGACAGCCCCCCCCCCCCATA